TGTAGCAGAATGAGAGGGAACCTACTTGGATAGCTGGAAGAATACTTTAAAATCTTACTATTATCAGTCTGGTCAAGGAGGTAAAAAACAAATAAAACCCCCCCTAAACTAGGAAACTAGGGAGAGTTCCTGCGTCAGCCAAGCAGAATCTGCAGTGAAACATTAACTGAAAACATGGACAGCAGAGAAGAGGATCTGGCAGAGGCAGTTTGCCTCAAGGAAAGAATGAAAGAAAAATATGGTTAGGGTTGGCACAGATTTCTCTAGCCCCTAGAGTTCTTGCCCTGGAACAAAGGGCAAAACCCTTGACTGTGCCCATGTGGGCACAAATATTAGGGATGACACAACTCAGCTCTATATTGTTGCCTTCCTGACTCAAGATGAAGAATGAAGTATCCAGGCAAGTAGACTGCTACTGAGTGCAGGCAAGTTTTTGGAAATTGCAACTGAAAAGTATAAGAAAAATTTGTGAAAACACTAGTCTAAAGTATTAATTTCTTTTCCCCTGCTCTAAGGTCTGTAGGAGGGCAGTGTTTTTAAGCACACCTAAATTTACTTGACATGCCAGAAGAAGGGAATTCCACATTTGAGTCAGGCTCTAAAATGCAACTCAATAGCTGTTACTACCATACGTGGACTTGATCTTAAATATGAGGAACTTCCCTTCAATTTTAAGAGGTGGGAATCACTCCTATTCTAGAATTTTTTTTACTAATTTAATTATTCAGGTTAATGTTTAAAGGTGACTAAGCAACAAAAACTGACCTCTGGCTTTACGACAACTTTACTTTAGGCTATACAGCAAACCCGTTAGGAATAAACACGTTAAATGCTGCCACAAAAATAAAAGTAGATGACCCAAAATTATTTTCAGCATTGCCATAGAAGCCTGACCCTCAGATCACTTGTCACAGCACCCTAAACCACAAAGTACTAGCTTCTTTAAACACTTGCTAATTCTGATGGATTCTATGCTTCACCAAAGGGTTTCCTATTGCTATCCCGTACTGGCCTCTCTGCTTTATGTTCTTTCACTGGCACTATACAGCCTTTTTTCCCCCACCATGGGTTTCTGATCAAAATCCCCCTCTCTAGCATCACACCAGGCATCATACACCACTTTACTTGCTAGAGCTACATAACTATAGCCTGCTACCAGAATAGTTCCTACAGTATGACAGGATTTTTATGAACTTGCTCCACTGATGGCTGCAAGAAAAATTGCTGCCAGCAGAGGATTACTTACCTGTAGAGAGCTGGCAGATCTCCAGGCCCTTTGTTCCCTCAGTACAGAGGGATCAAGCACACTGCATCTCCTGATAACAATGGTGACTCTTGTCTATCAGACAGTCTTTTTTTTCCCCACTCTCATGAGACACTGAGTGTTTTGGTGTTGCCAGCATGAACATGATGTCAATTCAAAGGCAAAGGCTGCTCAGCCCTTTGTGGGTGTCCAGGGTAAATGAGAGCAGCTGCTTGCTCCTGCTGCATGATGCTTTCCATTTCATCTCAGCTGCAGGGCTCTAGCAGCCATCAAAGTCAGCAGTATTCTGCATCAATCCCTCTCCCTTACAAGGGGAAACAAGTCTTATCCTAGTGAGCCAGAAGTAGACATGTGGTTAACTCTTACTTTTTTAAAATCTCACTTGTTGTGGACTACACATTGCACTTACTGCCTGTTAGCAGCTCTGCATTTAGCTGTGTAGAACAGAGAGGTGCAGTCCAAATTTCTACAAAATATAACCACATATTTGTGATTCTCTGTTTTACCAGCTATAGTCCTGCCTGCCGTATTCTGTCTCCTTGTCTTTTGACAGAAAGCACTCTGGGGATGGGACACACTCATTTCTTCTACAAAAAGTGTAAGGGAAAGTTTCAGCCCTAAGGGAAAAGTATCTTTTTAAGTGCATATGAAGCTTAAGTTTTTGTTGAAACAATCAGTCATAGTGTGCTAAGCTTTCCACCTCTTTTTCAGTTGTTGGCTAGACCTCAGCCATCAACAAGGCATATACTGATGTAATCCATTCCTGCTCTTGTGTGTGCAAAAATAACACAACTACCATTTTATAACTAGGACATCCCAATGACTCTAACAAGTCTATTGGTGACAAAGTAGATAAGCACATAATAAATAGACAGGAAAATAGTTCTGTAAAAAATATTAAAGGTTAATAAAAAATATTTTAGCCACATCATGTGTAACCTTACATTGCAAAGAATTATAAGATTGAAATTTAAATCTATAATTAGCAAGTCTTTTCTTAGGCAATATGAAAATAGAAGTTTTAGATTTTAGGATGAAATACGTATTTTAAATAAACATGCACAGTGATGCAAACAAGAACCCTCTGGCTGAAAGTCAAAATAACAGTGAGCAAAGACAAACAATGGCCCCAAAAAGAAAACATTACAAAGAAGGTCCCTCTGAAAAAAAACTTGGTTCGACCTCTTACTCAAAGCAGTACTTTGATCAAGGGACAAATAATAATTTGCTTCAGATCTAGCTTTGAAATTTAAAATATAGCAAACAAATTACCAAAACATCTAAATACCGATCTTTGTAACCTTATCCCAGTGATCCTATCATATCTCACCATGATGAAATAACACAGATTTTTCTCTCAGATGTCTATAATTCTGCTAAGAAGAGAGTAACAGAAAAGGCCCAGCAGTTTTGACTTGACAAAAAAATATGAGAAAAAAACCACATACAGTAAAGTAAATTTTCTTTCCCCAACTTTTCTCTGTCCCTCTCTTCCTAGCTATTCACAGTGATATAGATATAACATTACAGAACAAACCATCTGTGACAACTGTCAGCTCGGAGGAACCTTAGATAATAGAAGAACTCACTTCAAAGAGGAGCGAGGATTCAAAATTTAAAGTTAGTATTTGGAACAATAAACTGATGCGAGTGAAGAGGTCAGAAAGGACTCCTCAAAAGTCCTTGTCAGCAGGGCTACTTGAGAGGCAGAACATCTAGCAACAGAACACTTCAAAATAACACCTTGTATTTCTAATCAATTAAACTAACTCAGTACTTTAAATCTCAATAGAAGCTTTGCATTCTCTCTTAGCTAACACCAAAGCTTTGTAATTGTTTTATGTTGTTTTATCATCAATACTTCCAGAGAAGCTTCAAGACCCAGTTTCAGACCACTGCAGTGACAGGAGTCTACCCAGCCATAATTCATTTCCTGATGGTGAATGAAAGGCAAGCAGTGTGGGGCTACTGGAATAACACACATGCCACGGTCCACTTGCATTAACATCTACCCAAGCAAGGACATTGAGAGAGCTGGGTCAATCACTACAGTAAGAGCAATCTGTTTAAAGACTGTTGAGTGTGAAGCTAAAAACCATTTCATGGTCAAAACCATTTGACAGTTTCATCAGCCCTTTAGGTCACAGCCCAGTGTTGCTATAAAAAAACCCTGCAAACAAACTCATTGTAGAAGTAACTGCTTTCATATCTCATTTCCAAGTGCAAGAATAATATTGTTCTTCCTAAACCCTCTGCCCCAGTCTTTTGCAACCTGAGAGGCAGCTCTTATCAGGAAAAGGTCCAGGACACAGAGGGAAGGTTCTGAGAAAACTGCATTATTTTTCTGAGTGCTATACTTTTGGTGCAAGTGTTAAACTACATACTGCTTCTCTCTTTTCTTCCCTCAAGAGGCCTTAGTAAGATGGGATAATACTTGGTACATGAGTAACCACCAAGGAAAGGCAGCCTGTTTTCTCACAGTAGTAGCAGTGCTAATATTGTTAAACAGAAAACAGCAGAAGGTCATTGCTTTCAAACCCCCTATCCAGGAACAGGGAAGAAACAGAAGCACTTTCAGAAAATGACACCTCAACATTGCACTTCTTACCTCTTCCAAAAGGAAATTCAAATGACGTTTTGGATAATCCTAAGTAACAAAAGCCTCCACTTTGGGCTGACAGAGGTGTTGGGCAGCACCAGACAGCCATAGCCTGCAGGAGTGATAGATAGTCCTCTCCACAAAAAACCCAAGGCATCACTGAAAAATCACTTCTGTAGCACAGGTAACTCATTCAGCTGGCAAGGTCAGCAATAGCTAAAGCCATCTCCCAGAAGCTACAAAACCAAGACATTTGCATCACTTACAGCAGTAAGGACCCAAGACACAATTTTTCAGCAGTCATATAGCCTTTATTATAGCCTCTTTGGACTGTAAATTTACTATCAGAAAGTCAGTAGCTCTGACACGTGGAACAATTAGGATTTGTGTTTTATACACACTACTATGTCTATTTTCATCACAAACAGTTTAAACAAATCAAAACAGCTTGTGAACAGCTTGTTTATTAGATTTGCCATAACATTCATTCTGGGCAATTCACACAGTCAGACACCCTAAGCAAGAAACCCACATGAGAAGACCCAAATATTATTTCCAATGGATGAGCTGAACAACATCAATGAAAAAATTACTCATATTCAGACATCTCCAGTTATGTTATTTCACACACAAACATTGTTTATGCACCTCGAAGGGAATACACAGAAGCTCAGGCAGTAGCAGTTACAATATATCAACTTTGATTTCTACAGTATTTATAAGAGTTTTGGGCCATATTTTATTTTTTCTCCCCAACTTTGCCTTCAGTGTTTAAGTCCTCTATTCCACACATATATAAACCCTCATCTTATCTTATAGTTTCAGTATAAACTCATCCAAAAAATCTCCTTGCTCAGAGATCATCCCAAGCCCTTACATAGTAACAACATATTGAACACAGAAGTAATGTCCTTCCTGACAGGCCTGTCAGCAGGTTTGATACCATGATCTGAATGAAGTACCTGGAAACCTACATGTCATGGCTGTAACACTGACAGAGCTACAAGGTCTACTCAGGTGATTTTTGCAAGGTATTAGTGATAGGAAGAAACCAAATTGCACTTTTGCATGCCCTGGTTTCATTTTTCAGATAAAGCTTGTTAGAACTCAACTCACCCATCTCTCCTATAAGGCTATGTTAAGAACCAGAAAGGGTCAGCATCCAGATAACCTCATCATTTTGCTCTTGAAAAATTGTAATAAAGAGCTGCACAACTTCAAAAGGCATAATATATTGCAAGATAATTAAATGCTTCAATTGGAGTATGCGAGACTTTATGTCAAACCGTAGCACAAAACCAGAAGTTTTTATGAAGTATTATCAGTTATTACTGAAACAAATCCTAACTAATCCATGCTCTTGGCAGTGAGGTGTGAAAGTGGAAGCATTTTAAAGTATCAACTTGTTTTTATACTTCTCTTTCAGTTGGACTTTCAGAAATTCTGTTCCATTGGTTGTGCAACTTGGTATCCTTGTATACCAGCCAAACATTCCCTCCCCATAAAGCTGCATTAAGCAAGCCAAATACCTGTAGAGTGAGGGAAAAAAGTGAGACTGAGTTTGTTGTGTTTAGTTGTGTTGCCTTTTTTAAAAAAACCAAACAATAATATGCCTTGCAAACCATAAACAGCCACCATTTTTGGCACCCTTTTGGCTTGGAAAAGACATTTTGACACTCTTTAGAGTATGACAAGCTATTTTAACAGACTTCTTTGGAGATCAGATAGTCGACTTTCTCTATCCTTTGCACAGAATTAGACAAATTCTTTTCAGTCACTCAGCACCTCCGCATATGCACTCCCTGAGCATATGATTAATTATTATTGGGACAATGAATAACAGCCAGAGCTTTGAAAAGCAGAATTCACTAGGAAGATCATACAATAAGCCTAATTTGCTCTGCTCTGAAGCATTCTTTCTCTGAACATGAGCTTTATATCATTGTATTACAGGGAACCTTGATTTGATGTATAACAATTCTCACAGTTGATTAAAAAGCTGGGTTTGGCACCAAAAGACAGCAGGAATCATAGTGTTTCTTCCCGACTTATATCAGTCAGCAAACCACTTGGGTGGCTCAGTAACATATTTTAAGGTGCTCTTGTCTACAGGCATAAATAATAGGGACTCAAATGTGTCTGAAAATGCTGCATCTAACAGCTCCAGAAATAGATCCTACAAGTTGATTATCTTGTTCCCTCAAAGAAATGTTTTCTTCTAAAGAAAAGAATTTGCTTGGTGTTTTACCACATTATTAATGGGCCTGAATGACTAATAACACATAAAGCAATTCTAACACAAAGCAATACATGTAATCAGTAGAACAGGACTCTCAGGTGCCATTTGTTATTTTCCAACACATTTATTGTACCCATATGGTGAAAGGCATACATACCACAGACAAGTTCAGAATTCCCATGCTGGTCACAGAAACAAAATTACATGTTGTTCCTGGTGCTTGACAAGCTTCAATTCCTGGAATAATGTTGGCCTCCGTGGACATTTTGATGTCAGCAAGTGCCTTTGCCCAAACAAAAGTACTGACCATCCACAAAATGGCTATCAAGACACTGATAGCCAAGTCCTACACATGAGAAGTATTTGTTAGTAGGTTAAAAAACACAGGAATATACATAGGAGCAAGGCAGAGACAGTATCAGTTATATCCAAATTATCTGCATCAGTGCTAATGATCACAAGCAAGTTTAGTCATGAACAATGTTGCAATTACAGCACAATGTTGATGATCAGGTACAAAACCTTTGCATCTATCAAACATAAGCAATCTTATCCTTCATAAGAAATATGTTTCTAAAAAATCAGATGCCTAACATTTACATTATAAAAATTTAAGTCAAAGTTCAGTAAAAGTGGAGGTGACAGGGGAGAAGGGGCAGGTGATTTAGATCTGGCCTGAGGTCACTGGATCCATTTCTGAGCGTGCTCTGAAATTTCTCATTCTAGGCTTCGATATTTAAGGTGACTAAAATTCACAAGGTAACTACTTCCCTCTGCTAATTGCATCTGCACAGCAGGTGCTCTACACAGGGAAAATTCTCAGAGAATAACAGTAGAGGTCCCACCTATAAAACAATTGTATATTCAAATACATGATACCAAAGAAAAAAAAAGTTGTGGTGAAGACATTGTTCACCTGAGAAAGTGAAAATTCACTCCACTCTGCTTCAATAACTGCATAAGGTATGATGCCATAGAAGTCCAAGGGCTTTGGGCCCCCTTTTCTGCTGGAGTGCTCTAGCAACTAGTCCAAGATACTTGTGCTCACAAGCCATGTAACTTTCAGAACTACTGAGTATCCACGAGTTATTCTTGCATTAGCAGTGTTCCTCATCTCTTTGTGGTTTGAAAGTCAAAACATTAAAATATCTTAGTATTACTTACAGTTAGTGGAAACTTGTTATTTTGCTGATAGACATGGTTGTATCCAATATATACCACAAGGGCAACCATGCAGTAGAGGAACACCAACGCCGCAAGTGTAACAAAGAACTGTGCAGAAGAGGAGAAGTTGCCCACAAGATGGACGTCAGTCCAAGTACCAGCGCAGCCTTTTGGGTCTGGTGCACTAAATTCAACAGTATTCAACCTGAAAAGATTATATCCTTCATGTAGTTAGAGTTTGTTATACAGTAGAAACTTCATGCTGTCATGCTTCATAATAACAGTGCTTAAACATTCCGGTTGCATAAGTTTACTTTATAAGATTATTTATATTTGTATAATGTAGCAGTTACACAACAAATATTTGTCAAGCTATCTGAAGATTGTTCCCTATCCCACGCTGAGATCTACAGTAGTAGCTTTGGGAAAAGGATCATAATCTTACTGAGTTGAACTAAGAAACTCCAATTTGGAAGCAGACTTAACATTATTTTAGACTGGCAATTAAATAAGGGGATCAAGAGTTAAAAGGCATAGTTGCATTACAGCTACAGGAAAATGCAAGCACAGAAGCTGAGTAAAACTCATGTGACTAGCAGTGACCGCTCAGTAACCAGGACAAAATCATTTCAGATCCCCACTCTTCCCTCCGAATGCTGTTAACAATGTTGGGCTTTGTGGCCAAATTCTATACTTTCACAGTGGTTTTTGCTGGGTGGCTTCTGAATCCATTTCAATACTTATGTTGATTGAACACACATGAAACACTGACCCTGTGCTTGTTGCACTTGTACAGCTGCAAGGGCAAGGAGGAAGCTTCGTCCTCCTGCTCCAGAACAGGAGCTTGTCTCTACAAGGGCACTGCAGTGACACTGGAGTATTTAGTTTTTCTGTGCCCAACACCCTCAGAAAGCTAATGGTGGAATAAACTGAGAAGTATGTATTTTCCTTTCAGTCTTTGCAAACTTGTAGGATAATGGCACATCCAAAATAATCTTATCTAGGCCTTCAAAGCAGCTACAAATTGATAAAGATTGGGCTGTTAAAATTAATTGTACTGTTTTGCCTACTAATTACTTTCTGTAGCATTCATGCACTGCTAGACTAAAGCTTAAGGTAGAGAAATACAAAGCAGTAACACAGTCTATTGCCATTTCTACCTTCTTCTTTCCATAAAGCATGAACAGCTACAATGCTTTGAACAATTACAACTAAATATTTATGTATTGCTCCTACAAAGCAAGCCAGAAGTTTCACATCTTCATTTAGATATATACAATAAGTACATAATCATAAGGAGACAGATGGGGAAAAAGAGAATAATAAATAACCACTGAGTGACCACCGCAGAGCTAATGCTCACCTGAATGGATAAGCAAAAGCAGCTGTAACTGTTTTGTTTACCACACCTTCGCAGGAAACTAGAAGGGTAGTTTTACCTTGAAAGCCTCCACATGTGGCAAGAGCAAAAATGGCAAAGATCTATAGGAATTGATACACAGACACATTAGTGCACATCACTTAAGCTCAAAAGAAAAACTCTACATTCAGCTCAAACAGCTAAATATGACAAGAAATAGGGACAAAGTTAGTAAAGCTCAAATATGAAGTGATATCAAGAAGAAAATTTTGAGTTTCTGTAACCCGAAACCATGAGCAACACTGCTAACCAAAGCCCATTTGAAAGTACTTTGTGTTTATTTTTAGTCGTACAGAAAAAGTCTTTTGTCTGGGTTTTTGGTTTTGTTTCTTTTTTAAATGCTAACAGCCAGCACAGTATCTCTTGCAGTTGATCAGGGAAATACTTTTACAAGTCTCAGATATCCACAACTGTAAGTTAGAGTAACCAGAAGGTACGTGCTCAGAGTATCACACATCAACTTAACTCTCTAAGTAGCTCTTATTTTCCCTTTGGTCACTGGCCACCCCCGATCATCAGAACATGCAACACACAGCACTATAAGGTACTGTAACACACTCGTAATTAACACATTGAGTTTATGTATCTGCAGAAGTGTTTTCTTCACTGCCAACCAGAGGGCTTGGCTGACAAGCAGCCTCGTGTTGGACGCTCACTACCAGCAACTGGGGATAGAGAGGTGGCAGCCCATTAGCTCACACCTCTTCAGCTCTACCCAGCTCAGGCACAGGAGCAAAGCCAGGCCTGGGGAAGGAGAGGAAACAGCCCCACTCACCCACTCAAGGACCTTAACAAAGCCCAGAGCCTCCAGGAACATGCTGAAGTCCACTCTCAAGCCAGCCATCCTGGGAGAGGCAAGCAGGAACCAAGACTAACACCTGCCCACTATAGCAGCCTCAGCAGCACCTTTTTATAAGGGCACCCCATACCCCTGCCACACCCCCTCACCTGGCAATGGGGATGAACCCACCCACAGATCCCTCAGCTGGGGCTCTTCAGCCTCAGACCTTTCTGTGGGCTGGGGAAGTGGTGCAGTGACTGTCACAAGGAGGAACAGCATTGGCCATTTTGTGCAGTGAGTAAACAGTGACTTCTTCCCCATCCCCTTCCTCCACTGCACACTTTGGACAATCATATGTGCCATACTTTGAGCTTGATGATTTGATGACAAACAAGGCAGGGGCACTTGACAATTCATGTTTGCCAAAATCTCATCAACTACTTTTTTAATTTGTGATGTGATTTGATTGTGACTGCTTTGTTGCTGATGTGTTAATCACCAGTAAAAGTGAAGAGCTAGAACTCATGCTGAAGAAGGGTTGTGAGAGAGGCTGTCCTCTGCCCTCCTCCCTGGCCGGAGAGCCAAGGTGACCATGGGCACAGCACTCACTGCTGCAATTTCCTGGCTCTGCTTCAAGATCTTTTAGAAGCTTCTTCAGGGATTGCTGGGGGACTCCAGGGAACCTTCTGAGGAGCATCAGGGTGTCTGGTGATGCTCTAAGGAAGGGGTGGCTAAGGAAAGCTATGGCTGCTCCTGGTAGAATCTACCTGATCTGACAGCTTATAGGAAGATCTGTGAGCAGACCCTGGCCAAAGGGTACTGGGAGGTTTCATCCCAGCTGAGCCCTGTTATTGCCACCAGGCAGCCTTGCAGCAGGTGCCAAGGAGATGCCAATGGAAGAGCTGGCTTGGAGTGCAGCTCCTGGGTGCAGTTAGTGGGTGCAGCAGCTGGTGCTGAAGGGGGCCAGCAGTCTCCATGGAGGAGCAGATGCGTGCTCAGCTGTGGTGGTGACGTGCTGCAGGGTCACGGGGATCAGCTCTCCCTAGTGCATCAGAGCCTTGGCTCAAACTAAACTGCTGAGGGCTGGTGCAGCTCTTCAGTCCCAGGGCTGACAAGCTGAGGTGTTTTATGGACCTGTTACTGATAGGTAAGGAAAGACTGGTCAGGATTATGGAGACTGGGGTCAACTTCGACTGAGCTTGCTTGATGGATGTTACTACTCTGAATAAGTCTTGGGAGGCCAGCCAAAGGTGGGAATACATGAGGAAGCTTCCCAGCTGGGGACTACATGTGAGAACAATAGCAAAGAGTCAGTGTTTCAGCTGGCCTGAGGCTGCACTTGCAAAACATTGGCAAGAACTCACACAGTTCAAGGAGGATTTTTGACCCTAGCTTTCTGTACAATGACCAAAAGAGGTGCTGACATCTGCCTCCTACCATGGGATCCCGGAGGTAGTCCAAGCCAGAGCTGTGGAAAGGAGGCCTCTTTCCTTTCTTTCACTGCTTTTGTTATATACATGAATCTCACAAAAAATCCCCCATGATCCAGAGAAGCAGTGCTGAGGGTTCAAGCTACCTTGGTTAGCTTAGCTGCCTGGATAGCCAGTGCCTATAAGGAGTAAAACAGGAATACAAAACCAGGGACAGATGAAGATGAAATATCTCTTTGCTTGTCTTCTCCACATCCTCCATGTTGAAGAAAATCTGCTCCATATATATGTGCAATATAAAATCTTAGTTCAGCCTAAATCAACCAAGCAACTCCCTGTCCTTTCATCCAATTACCTCTGTAATTTTTTTCTCTTCCTTCCCTCTTCCCCATATTCTACTTAAATCCTACAAGCAATGTATCTCCCTAAAAACACATATAGACCCTTGTTTGATTACTCTCCTTTTCCACTTGTCAGTTAGTTAAAACCATTTCATTATTTAAGGCATTCTTAAAAAATGCTCCTTTGGTTTTTTATATGTTTTATATGTTTTTTCTCTCTCAAGTCTTTTCACATCTCCAGTATGGATGTACTCTGAACTATATACATTGTTCTAGCTGTGGGCTTCTTAATTCAAAAGTGGAAAAGACTGTTAATTTTTCACTCCATATAACTTATCTGTCTACTGAGGTTAAAAGTATTTTGGAACATTTTTTATAGTGGATTGCATTCCAAGGTGATATCAAACATTAAAATGTAGGTGGTCCTTCCTGAGAGTTAATTTCATAACCTGAAACAAATTCTGGATCAATCTCTGCAAGGAAGAGTTTAAGTAGGAAGACTGTATACTGTTTAGGAGCGCCAAAAAAGCCTATTACAGAAAAAGAGAATTATTTTGATTGAAAAATTAACTTGGCTTAAAGGAAAAGTGTCAGAAGTATAAAAAATATAGAACAAATGTGAGAAAGGAGAAGCTGATAATAATACAAATTGCAGAAGAGTGATAAGAAGAAAAGTGATAAGAAAGCAAATGGATCAAGGGACCAGTATATGGTCTACAGGCTTGCAGACAACAGCTATGCATTTTTGAAACACAGGAGGACAAGAAGAGCTTATATCGAAGTGAACAGACAGAAATGATGGAATCACCTTAAAAAAAAAAAAAGAGAGAGAGAGAGAGAATAAGGCAGGAACAGCCAATATTGTATTCTGTATTTGGGAAAAAGCAGGACAGTATTAATATGCTAATCATGTAATAAATCCTTTCCACTCCACCATGTCTCAGGGGAGTGCTGAGTCACATCTGCTAAAGCTTCTATATCAGTTGTCAATACCCAGCAACCCCAGCTTGGGCAGGGCTGATAAAGGAGCTCTCTTATCATGAACAATAATTGCCGGTCATCTATGAAACACTGGTTAAGATCCAGATGTCTGAGTGCTAAGGCAATATAGGCCTATCCATTTATCTCTATTCCTGAGAAAAGAGATGGAGTGACTGATGCAGAACCCTCTTGATAGAGAATTAAATTAGAACAATACAGTTAATGTCAAGCTACACAGTCGTTTGGAAGTCAGTTTTTGCTGATTAGCTGATGCTTAAGCTGATCAAAAGACTGGGTTGATAATAGTTGACACTGCAACATAATTCCAGGTTCTGGGAGCTTTTGGTGGATATTTGATGACTCTGAGAGGATATAAAACTGATGTAAACACTGATTTAATTAGAAAGTAGGTACCTGATTGCTCTTTAACTGAAAATCAATATTATTAGTGAAAAAAACCCCTGTTTCTCAATATACCAGGTCCCATCCTCTGGAAAATAAAAAAGGACAAAGGTGTTTATATTGCTGGTCTCATGGTGTCTGACAAGGCTGTGGAAAAGGCCTGTGGGATTCCTGGCTGCCCCAGAGACGTGTCTGCAACAGAGACAGCAAAGTGGCTGTGCCCCTGCGTGAGGAGTGAGTGAGCTTCCCCTGGAGCACCGTGCAGGTCTCATTTACTAATGCTTGTGGAAGATTAATTCAAACTATCTGGATGATTAAGGGTCACAAAGACCTCATTTTCTAAGAGTGAAAGAACTTGGGTGGTTCAGCAAAATGAAGGGTAACTTCAGGTATTACTGCTGGCTTGGAGTTCACAAGGGACACAGAGAAGGCAGAGATTTGTGCTAAAAGGCAGATTTACCAAAGGGATCACTGCATGTAATCAAAGAATATAATTTATGTTGAACATAAAGTGTGAGTATGAGATTCTGGAAATATGTTCCAACAGAAGGCAAACACTGAAAGAAAATTGTTTTAGAAGGAGTTCAGAATATGTTGCTTGTGATAGCAGAGGAAAAAAACCGACGGCTCACGATGTTCTTAGCCCATCCAATCCCCTATGCAATCCAAACAAGGATTAATTCAGGGAAGTTCTGAACTCTGTGTTTATAGATAAAGCAAGAGTGGGTGATTAAGTTAATACTTATCTGGCAGGGGAGGCACCATTGCACAGGACTGCTCTGTCCACAATGCTTCTATTTGGCAGGTCTGGAAACTTCAGGTGGAGAAAGTGCTTTTCTTCCTCCCAGATTAGATAAATCTTACATTCCACATAACTCTCTACAGGTAGTTTCTGGTGATGTAATGGGCTGCATTTTGTTAGCTGTTTGTCTGTGTTCTAGTATCTAAATAATTTTATTTGCTTGTGCACTCTGATACTTTAAATCTTTCCTCTTCAGACCTGCGAACACATTTACTGTTCCATTTATTTCTCATTGGCTGTCTAATAAAAACATGAAGTTACATTCATCCTTTTCCCTGACTTTTGTAGTACCTCTTTGCCTTTTCTCCAAGAAATCACTGTTTAGTGTGTTTGATCTTTGCTAAAAGTCCTTGAGATATATTTCACTGCATGTGCCATTTGTCTCTCCTATCCAAGCAGGTTTTAAGTTCTGTAGTTAATACAAGTTAAATTTTCTGAGATACCGTATCAATTTTTTTAAAAGACCCAAATTCTAAGTATTTTACGCTGCCTTTATTTAGCTTTCTCACAGCAGCTTAGTTACTTCTGAACTGTTATGGTGCTTATTAGTACCCTTGCTGCCTTGAAGTTTAATTTTCTACTACTGCATGTGTAAAAATTCTTGTTATTCTCCTTAATTCCTGGGGAAGCCACTGAAGGGCAGATAATCATGTCCCCTACCGTCCACATTTCTGTGTGCATTTCCAAAGGGCAAGAGAGAAAGAAGCCCTTCTCAGTGAGGCAGTAGCTCCTCTGGAGGATGTTTCAGAGCAGAAGTTTCCTGTAGCTGCTCTTGCCTCCCAGGCAGTGTGATTTCCATAGGGGATCACAATTTACAGGCGAATCCTGTGGCTTAATTTTCATAGCTCATCACTCTGTAGGTGTTAACTAGGTACTATGGGACCTCCCCTTTACAGGATGCTGGGGTGTGCCTTGTTCTCTGAGTACACTTTGGAAAGTAATTGCTGAAGACAGAGTTTTGGAGGATAACAACTCTAAAAGACAAAGAATATGATGCATTCAGTTGGAAAAAAATGTGTAAATTGCACTGCGGAGTTATGAATCTTCAGGCAGAATTGATTCAGCTGCTTATTGAAAGGGTTTGCCTGGGCATGCTGGGTGGCTGCA